TTGCACTCAACCCCCACCTCGTGGCCTCCTTGCTGACTTTCAAACATACCAAGCTTTTCCTGCCCCAGGCCCTTTGCACTTGTCCCACTGCTTGAAATACTGTATCCCAGCCTGTCACATTTTTGGCTCCTAATTCAGGCTGATTTTTTTTTTTTTTTTAATACTCTGGCTGGTAAAATAAGCCCTGGGGCCAGTTTTGACCCATTTTGCCACTTCTGATCTGGGGCTTCCAAGCTGCCCATGTTTTCTTTTTCTTGCCAGGCGTCTCCTCACTCAGAATTGGCAGAGGCATTTTCCCTATGTGGTTTGTCCCCATCTTTCTCAGGGGCTTTATGCTGTGGCCACAGAGTGCACCCTGAGGACGGGCAGACTGCCATGGATATCCTATGCCTGTGTTCATGAATTTCCCTCTGCTTAGCATGCCTGCTTCCTCTTTTTGAGTCTGATAAACTTGTATTCAGCTTTCAAAACCCAGCCTAGACAGCCCTTCCTCTGGGAAACCTTCTCGCTGAGCTAACTTGTTCCATCTGGGCCTACAGCGTCTTGCTCTCCTATACCCTGTAGCACTGGCCAGAGGATGTTCTGGTCAGTTTGCGCAGAAAGCTTCTCCTACTTGTCACAACTTGGCTGGAGTCAGCATCAGCAGCCCTGTGCACACAGTCAGTATTTACAGGATTGAATCTTTCTGCTGGCACCTGTGGCCCGTGGAAAATCCTGTACACTTTATAAGAAGTGGACGCACTGTCACCTAATGCGTGGCATACACACAACCCTGGCTGCATGCAGCACAGGCAACCACAGTTGTCCTGTCCCCTCCGGAGCACTGCTTTGTTGGGACTCAGCCAGGCTCTGTGCCTTCCTGCTGAGGAGGGATGGAAGGTCTGGATGGAAGCATAGGACAGTGTGACACACATGACAAACTCTGAGGGAGAGGTGGCCCTGTCTTCCCCATGGACATGCAATGTTCATGGGGGACAAGGAGGACTGCGAGAGCCCTGCCATTTTCTTTTTCTCTCTTTTTCAAAAAAATTTTATCACGTGCAATTATCCAGAGAATGTGTTTATAGTTGTACTTGCATCTTCTTAAAATAATTTTATTGAGAAACAAATAGCAATAAGACAGTTTCAAAATCGATTAGTAGGACAGTTTCAATAATTAATACATTATACATTGTTGTCATCTGCCATTTTCCTTTCTTGGCCAAGATGCTTTGGATTTTTTCCCTACCAGAATCATTTTTATAATTTTTTTTTTTTTTTCAGAACTGGGGATTGAACTCAGACACTTGCGCTTGCCAGGGAAGCGCTTATTCCACTGAGCCATCTCCCCGGCCTCATTTTTATAATTTTTAAAATTATTTATTTGGTACAGGGTCTCACTACACAGCTCAGACTCATAGTGATCCTTCTGTCTTAGCCTCCCCAGCGGTGGGATTACAGGCGTGTGCCACCATGTGTGGTTTCAGGGCCAGCACAGCATGCAGAACTGGGAATCAAACTCTGGACCAGTGCTTAGACCACCAAGCTATCTCCCCAGCCTCAGAATCATTTTTAAAATGAAACAAATACACATGTGCACCATGGCCTCTTCTGCCTGGTCTGACTCAGCTGAGCAAGGTGGGAGTGAAGGGGCTATAGGGAAAGACTCTCTTGTCTTCCCTGTAGGGACTGAAGGGCAGTTGCCACTGGCCCTGGAAACCCTGAAAGACACCAGGGGTCCTGAATAAGGAAAGAGCCCTAGAAAATACTGCTTGTTGCTGTTCTGGGCTGCTGAAGTAATTCACCAGTCTGTACATGTCACAGGAAAGCCTGGTCCCCCTATTCAGTATGGAAGGGCAAATCCAAGATTGTCCTTGCTCCCAAGTCCTCCGGCCCTATGGGGGACCCACGTTCACGGTCTCCCTCCCAGGTTGGTCTTCCCAATGCACATCTTCTGTAAGGAAAGTGCCAGCCCTGGTCCACCACCATTGTTGGGTAGGTGTAGGCCTCCGGCTAAATCTGGACATGTGCACCTTGTCCCTACAGTGAGTCCCCTGCAGTAGCCACCAGCTCTGCTCCCCCAGGTTCACCATGAGGGGGAACTGAGGACTCTGGAGATGGCCTTTCTAGGAAACTGAAATGTGTGCAAAGATTCAAGTTTGTGACAGGAATCTGAAAGCCAAGGCTCACAAAGCAGAGGGATTGATTTTATGACTGTGGATTATCTTGTTTCATGCAGCTGTCACAGAACACTGCAACCTGAACCGTTTATCATGGTCTGGGTTTATGGGGTCATAGAGGCTAGAAGTCTGGGCTGGGGGTTGGCGGGGTACTACCACATCCTGTGGCAGAGAACAAGGTAAAGAGAGGTACACCCAGCTCTATAGCAGGCCAACCCACCTGGCTTGGTTGCCATTGGCAGTGTCAGCCTCAGCAGTGCTGCCTGCACAGCAGCCTTCCCATCTGAAAACTCTGGAGACAGTCCAGCCACAGTGGGATATCTGGTCAAATCCCAGACCAAGAGGGATGCAGCCAATCTCAAGAGAGCCTGGAGCTGCAGTAAAAGAAAGTGCTTTCCAAACTTTCCATTGACTGCCTCTGTGGTTCTCTGAGCGCCAGGTGGACAGAGGAGGCTGCTTCTGGGTTCCCAAGTCACTCCTGAGACTGCCCTCCCTGAATCCCAAGCCTAACTTTCAGGGAAGGTGTGTGATTGGCTGTCCTGGGTCAGGTGATCAGCCTTGGTGAAAGGCGATTGGGTCATATTGGGCAAAGATGATAGCTGGAAACCACTAGACTAGATTCCGGAGCCAGCAGAAAGCATTACTAGTATGGTAGCTATGGAGACACTGTGCCAGGGTCCCCTTTGGCTCTCCTACTTTCTTGGGGTTACTGTCTCCTACAGACCTCAAGACACCCAGATGGAGACCTTAGATCAGCTGTCCCTGCTTCCTGCTGTTCCTAAGTGTGGCAGTGGCTCTGCCAGGTCCAGGGCTCTCCCTGGTGGTCATGCCCAGCCAGGACTTCTAGACAGGTGCTCAACGTATGGGGGTGCCCTCGAGGAGAAGCCAGGTGGCAGTTAATGTAGATGCTGTGCGAGCCTGAGAGAAGACGATGGTGCTGAGCGATGTATGAGAGGACCAGATCCAAGAGGCCCCACAGTGGTGCTTCTTCCCAGCTTTGGGTTGGTTCTGAGAGGGTCCCATAAATTTACTTTGTGCCATTTTATTAAATGGTCTTTTAAAGACCATTCTGGAAATCAGAAAAGGAGAAAGCTTACAGAAGAAAGCAAAAATCACTCAGGAAAATTCCATGGTGGCATTTTTGGGTATATCCCTCCAGTGTAGCTTTTTGTGAGTCTTTAATAAACAGATGTGGGGGAGGTGGGCACTTTCAAAATTTGTTTTTTTGACTAAATAAAACACCAGGTTCTTCCCAGTAGTCTTACACTGTCTTTCATCACATTACTGCACATCTGGATTGAGAATCTAAAAAATAGCTACATCAAGAGCCAGCCAAAATAGCTCAGCAGATTAAAGCACCTGCAAGCAGGTGCAGGGGCTGGGGGTTCGATCCCCAGGCCTGCCATGCTGGCCCCACCCTTGGGGCATGTTGAGATGGCAATTAATACTGGGTATGGTGGTGCGCGCCTGTAATCCCAGCTCTTGGGAGGTTGTAAACAGGTGGTGGATCACTATGAGTCCGATCTAGTAGTAAGACCCTGAACACCTTGTAGACCCTTCCCTAAAATACAACAAACAAACAAACAAACAAACAAAAACAACAAAATAGCTACATTAAACTTTGAGTTCATATATTTTTAAAAAAAGGAAGTCATCAACCACATCCTGCAGGTGGTTCCTAGTGGGGCTCAGGACCAGCTCTTATGGGCTTTTCTTTTCCTTTGAATAAAGTTATGGAATGTCAACCTCACATCCCCAGGAAGTGGGGCCAGCTGGCACAGTGGCCTCCTGGAAGTCTTAAAGCCCAGGCCAGCACCACGCTGGATGGACTGGCTGTGGCCTCCATGGACACTGCACAGCCCACTGCCACCAGCCCTCTCACCCGCTCCCTTTCTTCCCTTCTGTACTTGGCAGCTCAGCCCAGGGATTGCGGGGACCTCGCCGGAACTGACCTGCGGCAGACCATCAGGTAATGATGGCCAGTTCATGGACTTCCTGCTCCCAGCAGAATAACCAGCACAGCTAAAGTTTGCTACAATGTGACAAGCTGGAGAGGATTGCGTCATCTTATATGTGGGGAAACTGAGGCTCAGAGTCATCAAGAGTAGTACTTCAGAAGAATATTAGTACTAGTACTCCACTAACAAAGGTCAGACAGATTTGAACTCAGGATTGCTCTGAGGCCAATTTCACACCCTGTCCACTGCTCATGCTGCCTCTGTAGCTAAAGAGGTAAGAAGGATGCAGAAGCCAGGTTCATCTTGGGGTGACTAAGAGGTCATTTGTGCCAATGGTCCTTTCCAGAGAAGAACCAGGACTGGGCGTCAAGTGTAAAAACCTTCTTTTTCAGTTTTTAACTCAAGACTTTCCAATAATCCAGTAATAAATGTGCTATTACCCTCATCTTAAAAGACAGGGCTAGTGAGGCAGAGAGGTCAAGGCGTCTACTCAAAGTCACACATAGGGAAAGTGACAAAGTGAACTGTGATTAGAGCTACAGTCCCCATTGGGCTTGCCTTGACCACAGCTGTTATGGCCTTTGGAAGGACAAATTAGCTGTTTCCTAGGAGGCAGCGATAGGGATCTTACCATCAAACACACTGTATTTCTCTCAGGAAGTGAGGTGGCCTGAGGTCCCTAGAGAGGGTGCACAAATGACCAGAGTCAGAGCTGGCTGGGGAGCATGCAGCAGGCCCTCCCGTTCCCTATGTCTTTGTATCTTCCCCTCTTTTCCCCAGGAATAGGGCTGAGGGAATAAAAGGCTGAGGGCGCCTACTGGTGGGAGGTGACTTTGTCGCTGTCATTTTGGAGCAAGGCAACTGTAGAATCCTGGTACTCATGGTGCCTGTATCCCCTCTTCCTCTCACGTGACCTTCAGCCGCAAAGCTGCTATCCACGTGGACTGGGGCTGAGATCATACGTCCATCCGCCAGGGCGCCCACGTCCAGACGAGACATGGCAACCAACAGCAGCAAGGTGGCTGACGGACAGATCTCCACTGAAGTCAGTGAGGCCCCCCTGGCCAACGACAAGCCCAAAACCCTAGTGGTCAAGGTGCAGAAGAAGGCAGGGGACCTTCCTGATCGAGACACATGGAAGGGTCGCTTCGACTTCCTCATGTCCTGCGTGGGCTATGCCATTGGCCTGGGCAATGTCTGGCGGTTCCCCTATCTCTGTGGGAAGAATGGTGGTGGTAGGTGGTGGCCTGCTAACCTCTCAGCTGGGTCCCTGAGGCATTTTCTAGGGTAACCTTAGAGGGAAAAGCCCCATCAAGATTCAAAAGGTAGTTGGCACTGGGCCTCATTTCTTGCTTCTTGCCCCTTTATTAGAAGAGTCCTGTGTTAGTCAGCTTTCTCTCTCTGTTGACAATATACTTGGGAATAATGACCAAAGAAAGGGCTGCAATTTGTGGCCCACCATTCAGTCCTTGGTCAGCTGGCATTATGTATAGGCTGGTGGTAAACATCATGGGGGGGGGAGCTGCTCACCTCGTGGCAGGCAGGAAGTGGAGGGAAAACAAGATCCAGTCCCCAATCCTGTACCCTCTGGCCCACTTCCTTCCACCAGCATAGGAGGCCACAATCTGATCACTTCCTAAAGCCTATCAACTGGCCGCCTAGCCTTCAACACAGTGAGCTTTAAAGACATGGAAGATCTCAGCTGTGACAAATCCCAAAGAACAATTGTCCTCTCCAACTGATGCCAAGCATTCATCTCTTTACTTTGCAAAGTGCAGAGCATGTATTTAGAGTAGAGTGACACCCTGGGGCTGCAGTTTGGCTTTGAGCATGCTTTGGAAACAGAGCAGGAGATCTCAGGGGGGAACCTAGAATCATGGTGCCCCACCAATGAGAGGGATTATCCCAAACCGTGGGGCCACAGCCTGTGTCCTACCCCCTGCAGGGGCCTTCTTGATCCCCTACTTCCTGACACTCATCTTTGCGGGGGTCCCGCTCTTCCTGCTGGAGTGCTCCCTGGGCCAGTACACGTCCATCGGGGGCTTGGGTGTGTGGAAACTGGCCCCCATGTTCAAAGGTAAGTGTACAGGGCCAGGCCCTGGTCATGGGAAGCTGGGCTGTGGTCATGGGGCGCTCCCCTGTGCCTGTATGAAGTCAGTGCCCCTCCAGAAAGCCCACATCTGAGCAGAAGGGCAGCTGTTGTGGGTAGAGGGGAACCGGATCTGGATCCTGCCCATCCATGAGCTCACTTCCCTGAGGGAGTTCCTCTACCCCTGTGGTTGGTGCCAGTGGGCCCTCGGGAGGCCTCCTGGGGGTCATGGTCACTGCCACCAGTTGGACCTGGCTCACTGACACTCTGAGCCCATTGGCCAGGCTCATGTGGCCTCTGGCTGGTGCCTACCTCTCACAGGCTCAGTGTCCCCAGTAATGCCTGTGTCCAGGGTTGAAGAGGTGCTGGACAGACAGTGGCTGCCCCCACAGACTGCGCAGGCTAGTGACACTGTACTCTGTCCCAGGTGTGGGCCTGGCTGCAGCGGTGCTGTCCTTCTGGCTGAACATCTACTACATTGTCATCATCTCCTGGGCCATCTACTACCTATACAACTCCTTCACCACGGTGAGCCAGCCTGTGGGCCCCTGCCAGCCCTCCTGTCCCCAGGACCTTCTGCTAGTGGGTCTGGGCCAGAATGCATGCTGTAGGACTCCACTCATGTGACCCAGAAAGCAGGAAGTTGTTCACAGGGGCCAGGAGAGGGGTTGTCGGGAGTTAGTGTCAGGTGGGGAGTGTTTTGGTTTTGTGAACTGCACAGAGCTACAGGTAGATGATGTTGATGGCTACCTGTGATAAGAGTTCTTAAAAGTCATCAAGAAGATAAATTTTATGTCTTTACCACCCCCAAAAAAATTGGGAAACAAGATATGAATTTGGATGTGGTGGCTCATGCCTATGATCCCAGGTATGTGGGACACTGAGCGAGGGAGTTTGCGGTTTTCAGGCCACCCTGTATGACTTAATGTAACCCTGTCTCAAAAATAAAAATTTTAAGGGTGAAGGATATAGCTCAGTAGTAGACCATTTGCCTAGCATGTGTGAGGCCCTGCATTGAATTCCCAGTATGAGAGAGACAGAGACAGACAGACAGACAGACTAATGAAACAGAACTGAACCCCACCCCCATGGGGCTCAGAAGCTCAGCAGTGAATTCATGTGAAGTTTCCAGATCTCACCTGGCTCAGGAGAAGCACCATGTCACTGTCATCATTCCTGTGTAGAGTCACAGAGATGGGAGACAGCCCAGGACGCAGAGTCCTAACAGTGCAGTTTTGAAGCTGTTCTCCTTGGGCTGTTCAAGGCTCGTGTTTCAGCCTTGACACTTAGTAACTGTGTGACCCCAAACAGGTTGCTCCCCCTCTCTGATCCTAAGAGCTGCTGGGGAGGAGAAGGGAGGATTCAAGATTGCCCAAGGGACCGTGAGTTGGGGACAGAACTAGCTCAGACCCCGTTTTCTGGCCTGAGGGCTTCCTGGGCAGTGTCCATGTGACCGTGTCCTTGCAGACATTGCCATGGAAACAGTGTGACAACCCCTGGAACACAGAACGCTGCTTCTCCAACTACAGCATCGTCAACACCACCAACATGACCAGTGCCGTGGTGGAGTTTTGGGAGTGAGTGCAGGTGGCATGGTGCCTGGGAGGACAATGGGGACCAGGGATAGGGGTAGGGGTGTGCAGCAGGGCAGAGCCTCTTCCTGCTTGGAGCGAGCTGGGCACCTAGGGGCCATGAAGGAGCTATAGTGGCCAGATGCCACTGAAAATATTTGGGGAGAATTGTGCGTGTCATTACTATAATTGCCTTTATTCACTGGACAATGCACTGATGCTGTGCTCAGTATTCAAAAGCCACCTGGAGATGATGTAGGAGATGCAGGCGGCATGCCAGGTTATATACCAAGGCCCTGCTGCATTGTGTTGGGGACCCCAGGACCCCCAGTGAAGGCCACATCTGTGGGCTCCATCGTCATCAGAGGAAGGTTGGGATGTCCAACCTGTGACAGAATGAGGTCCCAGGACCCAAAGCTCTGGGTCACAAAGGCAGTAACTCAGAAAGTCCCAGAGCTCAAGAACAGGAGGAGCCAGAAGAAGCAGTTTCCAGGCTCTCTGTGGGCCATGTCCTTCTGTGCAGATTAAAACCTGCTCCAGCTGTGGCTGGCTCTGCCCACGGACACCTCCCATGCATAGCTCTTCTAGATATACTCAAGTTCTAACTCATTCAGCCATTTGTTCCATACCCATTCCCTGAGCACCTACTATGTGGCCATGTGAACAGGAGACTTCACCAGGGAGAAGCATACACAGGCTCCTCAGCATCTTGGCAGGTAGGATAGCTGCTTAGAACAGGGACGGGGGCGGGGAACAGAGGGAGAAGGTAGGGACTGGCTCACAAAGCAGGGGGTCTATGCTCCATTCTGTCACTGCAGAGCACAGTTGACAGTGGGGTCCCTAGAAGCCCTGTGTAGCACCCAGGTGAACAATGACAAGGCTGAGCAGCAGGTCCTGCTCTCTCTGACCTCCGGACATTTCCTGGTGACACTATGCGGGACCTCACCATCCCCACACATACCAGGGAGGACGTGGCTCATGGACACACCTGGGCGCTTGGCGTGCTTCATCTTTCCCTGGCCCCTGTGACTCTCTCATGGCTGCTTGTCCCTCCAGGCGCAACATGCACCAAATGACAGATGGGCTGGACAAGCCGGGTCAGATCCGCTGGCCACTGGCCATCACCCTGGCCATTGCATGGATCCTGGTGTACTTCTGCATCTGGAAGGGCGTGGGCTGGACTGGGAAGGTAGGGTCGTGTGCAGAGTGGGTTAAGGCAGCAGGGGTCCACTGAGGGACTTAGCCAACCCTGATTAAGAAGGTCCTTGCAGCTCTCTGTTCCTCTGTTTCTCTTTCTGTGAAATAAGAAACAGAAAGGTTCCCTGCAGGGTGCCCAGCCCAGAGACACAGAGGATGGCTGGTCACCCTGGAAGTCACACAGGTGGGCCCCTCCCAGGGTCCACCCCAGGAGCTGAGGAACAAAGGCTGGCTGCATCTGTCCCTAGCCACAGCCTGAAGGAAGCCTTCCTGAGTAGCAAGGGTGATGGCTACCTGGGTGAGAAAATGGGACCACGAAGGACACAAAACAGGCCACAACTCACACAGCTTTTGGGTCATACAAATGATGTTGAAGGCCCTTCCCTAATGCCAACGCCATGGTGTCCCCATTGGATGGCAGCTGCCTTTCCTAATCCCACACTAGCCTACAGCCAAGACCAAGGCAGGCATCAACCCACAACGCAACTCGGGATGGAGGGTCACAGCCGCACCAGAGACACAAAGTCCACTACACTTGGAAATTGCCCCTCACACAGTGAGCAGGGAAGGGAAATTTCACACAATATCTGTCTTTTAACTATCAATTTGACAAAAATAGTTCTCTTAGTACTGTACTCCCTCCAGCACCGCAGGAAAGCCACTTTGCTGCTGGATACAGCCCAGTTCTAAAACTCAATTAGGCAACATAGGCCAGAGCCCCAGAGAAGCTGATTCTCTGACTTAGTAATTCACTACTGGAAAGAGGTCCCAGGAGGGGGATAGTAATTTTTTAGGTAAAGATTTATATAGAGATGTTCACTGCAGTATTTACGTTCACATAAAATTAGAAGTAGCCTAAATGGATAATAGTAAGATGGACTTGAAAGAGGACACTGGGACCCTGAGGGAGCATTTCGTATGACTAAAAATGAATTGTGTGTGACACAGTGCTCAGGAGACAAAACTGCATGTGCTGTGTGTTTTAAAACTTTAAGCACTTTCAATGGGAAGGCAGTTTTGTTAAGATAATGTGACCAGACATGCCCAGAAAAGCCTCCCAGGAGCAGCACTAAAATGCCAGCACCTGGACACTTAGACGAGGGCCAGCCATTTAGGAGATGGCCCTGGCAACTAGGAAGACCCAGATGTAAATCACACAGCCTCTGTCCCTCACATAACTTCTACTCCAGGGCCTGCCAAAGGGGACATGTGTGTTCACATGTAATTTCCAAATTTCCCAGTCATTCCAGATGTGACTTGGGTAATTCAAAAATCAAAAACTGTGAGGAAGAGAGATGAACGGAAAAAAGCAGGTGTTGCGCTTATTGGTCAGACGTGAAGGAGGGACATCAGACTGGGCATCCGGGAAGGATTCGTGGAGGAAGAAGGCCTGGCAGGCTGAGGGGGGGCAGGCCGGCCGGTGACTGGCCCACTCCCTCCAGGTGGTGTACTTCTCGGCCACCTATCCCTACATCATGCTTATCATCCTATTCTTCCGTGGAGTGACGCTGCCGGGGGCCAAGGAAGGCATCCTCTTCTACATTACGCCCAACTTCCGCAAGCTGTCAGACTCTGAGGTGAGCACCCTGTTCCACCCAACCGGAGGGCAGCCTGGACCCCAGTCCTACTCACCAGCCTCAGATGGGGCTGTCGTTTCTCCGGCAAGGTTGCTGGGCGCCTGGAAGAGGGCTGCGGTTGTTAGCGGGACCATTTTCCATCCTCCTGCCCACAGGTGTGGCTGGATGCGGCTACCCAGATCTTCTTCTCCTATGGGCTGGGCCTGGGGTCCCTGATCGCTCTCGGGAGCTACAACTCTTTCCACAACAACGTCTACAGGTGCCAGGGTGCAAGATCCTGGTCCTTCCTGCCTTGCCTCTTCCCAACTTCCCCACTGCCTACCCCCCTTCCCTGCCCTAGCCCCACCCCATTCTCCAGACCCCGCCCCATCTCCAAGGTCCTGCCTCTGGGTTTCCAGATGCGCCCCATGGCCACGCCCACAGTTCACCCAACTTTCTCATTTGTGCTTCCTCTTTTGTCTTCTTGGTCACCCCACTCTGAGCCAGTCCCTCAAGGTCACCCCGCTGGCCCATTTCTTCCTTTTGGCCCTGCCCTCCCTGGTGCTTCCAGACCTATGCTCAGGGCCACCTGTCCTCAGGGTCACTCCTCAGGCCCACCCCTCCCTGACCCAGCCCCGTCCCTCCAGGGATTCCATCATTGTCTGCTGCATCAACTCTTGCACCAGCATGTTCGCAGGCTTCGTTATCTTCTCCATCGTGGGCTTCATGGCACATGTCACCAAGAGGTCCATTGCTGATGTGGCAGCCTCAGGTCAGTGCCACAAGGAGGGCATTGCTCCGCGTGGCCAGGGGTAGGGTGGGGGGTGTACTGCAGCTCAGGAGCCATTCATCTCCATGACACAAGGCCCCCACATGTTGGTGCATTTGTCACAGCATCAAATGCGCTCTCACCAACACCTGGGCCCACTCTACCCCTCCCCACTCCTTGCCCAGGCATAGGAGGACTCCTGTGCTCACTGAGGCCCTGGAGATTCCTTGTCTCTTGGAGGACCTCTGCTGAGGTTCTGACCTCCCCTTCCATAGTAACCCCCACAGCATCACATCCTGGGGACTGTCCAGGTACCTCCCCTGCCTGCTTTCAGATCCACTCCAAGGAGGTGGCAGTCTCTTTGTTCCTCATTCCAGGGTGTCCCCACACCTGGCCATGCCTTCCAGCACAGCCACTAGCCTGCCCCCACCTGGTGCTCCATCACAGGACTGCACACTGTCCCATGGCCAGGCAGGAGCCTCAGCCTCCCCCCTTCCCTTCACCAACTCCCCCAGCCCAGGACCTGACCTCCACACCAGCCTGTCCTGCCCTCCCACTGGTCAGAGCACTGCAAGCCTCTTACTCGCAGACCAGCCCCACAGCCTCCCACTGGCTCCTTTCTAAGATTCCTCAGGAGATGCCAGGAAACAGCCTGGGAAGTGGGTGGGCAGTAGGGGTGCTCTGGGCTTCCAGCGCCTTTTCCTTCCCACCTGCCCGCAGGCCCCGGGCTGGCATTCCTGGCCTACCCAGAGGCCGTGACACAGCTGCCCATCTCCCCACTCTGGGCCATCCTCTTCTTCTCCATGCTGCTGATGCTAGGCATTGACAGCCAGGTGAGAGCCCCAACACCTTGGGCCCCCCACCTGGGGTTCCTCAGTCCAGAGAGCCAGCAGAGAGAGGAGGTTCTTGCTAGGTCCTGAAGGAAATGACCACAAATCCAAGATTCCCAAGATGTTCTACCCCATGAGACCCTGGGAAGCAACTCAACCACTGGGCCTACTTCCTGAGGGGAAAACTGAGGATTGGGGGAAAGAATTCTCCTGAGGCCCCAAAGTGAGAAACGGGTCAAACAAGGCTGCACCCCACCGTGGTTGGGTTGTAGTGGGGCTGGGGCTGCTGCAGGTGGCTGTCTCTGTTCCCCACAGTTCTGCACTGTGGAAGGCTTCATCACTGCTCTCGTGGATGAGTACCCCCGGCTCCTGCGCAACCGCAGGGAGCTCTTCATCGCCGCGGTCTGCATTGTGTCCTACCTGATCGGCCTCTCCAACATCACCCAGGTGGGCTCCATAGACACCTGCATACCAAGGACTCCTGAGCCCACTTAGAAATTAGATGATGGCAGGGAGTACGTGCTAGGAGAAAAACAGGACAGTGAGACAGCATAGCACGTGGGTTGGGAGGAACTCTGCCTTGGCCAGGGTGGCCAGAGAGTTCTCTCTAAGGATGTGATGGCTGAGCTGAGACTTTTGATGAGGGACAGTCAAGTAGGGAGGCTCCAGGGAAGAGAGGATGGCACATGCCAAGGCCCTGTGGTGGGAATGGGTTTGGGAAGCTAGAAGGATGGAAAGGAGGCAGGACCCCGGCACCTGGGTCAGAGCCGACTTGATTCAGTGTCTCTCTGTCTCTCTCTGTCTCTGTCTCTTTCTGTCTCTCTCCAACTGTCTCTGTCTTTGTCTCTTTGTCTCTGTCTCTCTGTCTCTCTGTCTCTCTCTCTCCCCTCACTCCTCTCCTCCCTCTCCTCCCTCTCCTCCCTCTCCTCTGTCTCTCTCTCTGTCTCTCTCTCTGTGTCTCTCTCTGTCTCTGTCTCTCTCTGTCTCTCTGTCTCTCTCTCTGTCTCTTTCTGTCTCTCTCTGTCTCTCTCTGTCTCTCTCTCTCTCTCTCTCTCTCTCTCTCTCTCTCTCTCTCTCCTTTATGTGCTTCTTTATGTGCTGTTATTGTCCTATATAAGCCAGGGAAGGTTTTAGGAGGAAAAAGGTATCTTTGAGCAAAGATGGCTTAGTGATCCCTTCCTTGCTATGTTCCAGCCCTGCTAGAAATGGGGTGTCTCCCTCTGCTACAGGCATATTTTCTTCCCAATCCTTAGAAAGTGAAAGTCCACATCTGGTTAGGCTTACAAAGCCCTCGGTTTCCCCCTCTAGTCTGGCCTCAGCTTTTGTGCTGCAGTGTAGCCTAATAAAATCAGCCCTCTTCAGGCCCAAGCTGAATGATCTGGGTGCAAGGGTCACCCACCTTTCCTCTTGCAGGGAGGTATTTACGTCTTCAAACTCTTTGACTACTACTCTGCCAGTGGCATGAGCCTTCTGTTCCTCGTGTTCTTCGAGTGTGTCTCCATTTCCTGGTTTTACGGTGAGCAGCACCTCCTCCCTTATTCATTCATTCATTCATTCAATCACTCACTCAATCATCATTCAACAGTCATAGCTTGAGCACCAGGCCTGCCCCCCACAGTAACTAATTTGGTCTTCACAACCATTTAGTGATGTAGTGTTTAGAAGACAGAAAAGGAACAGTTCAATCCATTCTTTTAAAATGAGAACAGTGTTTCATAAATTGGGGAATAAAATGGTTAGTTTGAGGCTTTATGTAGAAATAAAAAACCCAAACTACTGTTTTTTTTTTAAGTTTTAAAATTCCAATTTAATAACTAAGCTATAAGTAAAGCTCTGTGCTCTCTGAGACGGAAAACAGGGGATGCCGGCTTTGCATTTCTCTTGTGCCTTCCTCATCCCACACCTCCTGCACACCTCCTGCACACTACTGGTCTCAGGGACGTCCTTCCCTACACACAAGGAAACCAGAGCAAATCAAGTGTTTTGGAGGTGATGTGATACCTGTGTCACCTGACAGATCCAAACCTCATCCTTTGTCACCGTCCCCTGTGCCTCATCAGGCTGGTCTAACCAGTAATTTTTGCCTGATTTTTGAGCTTAGTAGTGGCAGCTGGGCTATGGTGACTTCAAGGCATCCTGCAGTTGTTTTTTTTTTTAATGAGATTTGCAGTTCTTTATAATCAAGCACCAGCAACAGACCAACAGGGGAAATGCCTTGTCCATTTAAGCCACTGAAAGAACTCTGGGACAGATGTGGTGCAGGAGGGACACTGAGAGTGGGATCACATTCTGTAAGCTCCCTTCCCTGGTGGCTGACTTGTGTTAGGATGACTTACTTGCCTATTTGCTGCATGAGTGTGGCTCTTGGAAATACTCCCAGCATTCATCAGTGCCAGGTTCCAAGGAGGAAGTGGGTCCAGAGGAGTGGTATGGCCTGCTCATGGTCACTCCACAAGCAAGGGGTTGAACCCGCTGTCCCTGCTGTTCATGCACCACCCCGATTCTGTTGCTCCAAATATCACAGGTGTCAACCGATTCTATGACAACATCCAAGAGATGGTTGGCTCCAGGCCCTGCATCTGGTGGAAGCTCTGCTGGTCCTGCTTCACCCCAATCATTGTGGCGGTAAGGATAAGGGTGGGCCACCTGTTTGGAGAAGGCTAGCACAGGCCAGGCAGCTCAGTTCCAGGGAGACTCTTCAGAGGCAAAGGTGGGAGGAGAGGCCCCCAGAACCCTGGCTCCCTGATACCTTTCTCCCTTGTCTACTGAGTGGCACAGTCAACCCATGATATCAGGCTCAAGGCCTCAGGGAGACAGGTGCTCTTGGTCCATGTAATCACTGAGGGGTGGGGCCTCAGCCAGCCCGTGTCATTTGACCACTCAGAACTAGAGTACATGCAACTGGTCCAATGTGCAGCCTTGCTCTGTTCATCTGGGAGAGGCAGGCTTTCCCTGCATCCTGCCCAGAAAGGGTGACTGTCCTATTATGCAGAAAGGTGTCTGTGTCCCAGCAGGGCTTTGGGTGTCAGGGGTGGCTTCAGCTGTGGGACAGGTTGGAGGGTGAGGGTACCGGCTGATCCTGTCTGGGAGACCTGTCCCTCACTCCCACCCTCAACCCTCGCCAGGGTGTGTTCATTTTCAGTGCCGTGCAGATGACACCCCTCACCATGGGCAGCTATGTCTTCCCCAAGTGGGGCCAGGGTGTTGGCTGGCTCATGGCTTTGTCCTCCATGGTCCTCATCCCTGGGTACATGGCCTACATGTTCCTGACACTGAAGGGCTCCCTGAAGCAGGTAAGCCCCTTCCTGTCCACTGCTAGTCCCCTCCCCCACGTGCTGTTGCAGCCACGTCCCTGGGAAGTTCAAGGTCTAGTTGGAGAGACGGCAAACTGAGAGCCGTGTCACTGGAGGGTTAGAGGGACCCTACTAAGTATGCAGAGGAGAAAGGAGCTCTGCCTTAGCCCTGCCTGGATGGAAAGGAGTCCACAAGGCTTCCCAGAAGATGGGATCTCTAAAGAAAGCCTTAGGGTCAATCAGGTGTAGTGGTGGGCACAAAAGGAACATTCCTAGAAAGGGGAGGTGAGGACACACTGCATGTGAAAGGTCCAGGGGATATGGGGAAACTTCAAGGGTTTGGAGCAGATGGAGGGCAGGGTGAGACTTGTTACGGTTTCATCTCTTACTCTGAGGCTTACTGAAGAGAAAGTGCACTCTTACCCTCCAGGAAAGGCACCACCCCACCCCCCACGCAGGTCTGCTTCTCTTTTTGGGTTTTGCTTTTTCTTTGGTGGGGGTTGAGATCAGATCTTGTTCTGTAGTTCAGACTGGCCTTGAACTCACTATGTAGCCTAGGCTGGCCTTGAACTTGCAGCAGTCCTGCTGCCTCAACCTCCAGAGTTCTGGGGTTACAGGCATATGCCACCATACTGTAGGGATCCATTGGTCTCTCGGTGTGATCCATTGTGCCCCAGGGAGAAACGGCTGCAGGAGTGGGGAAAAGATAGACAAGAAGACAAGAGCTGGGTCAGGTGGTGGCCCATCTGCCTGACTGGTAAGACTACCTACACGCACACAGTAGAGGCCTTTATTTATACTTTTGCAAAGTTAGTTACATGTGACACAAGGTTGCCTAGTGACTAATAGCTGACACTAACCAGTCAGGAAGCGTGTCTCAGAACTGAGGGAGTTTGTCCACTTTAGGCACTGAGGCCTGGTCCTGCTTACACACATTTGACCAATTTCCAGCTCCCATCGCTTCCAGCACCACACCTGGCAGCCTTGATTGTCTTAACCAAATTCTTAGTACCAAAAGTGTTCAGGATTTCAGAATTTTTCGGACTTGAAAATATTTATATTCATACAATGACATACTGGGTGATTTTAGCCTGATAGTAATTTTAACCAGCATTTTAGCACATTTATGTTTTGCCTCACCATCTGTCAACCACGTCAGGAGTGTCAAGTCACACTAGATCTTACAGATTTGGGGATGTTGGGTTTCAGAATCTTAGATGGAGCTATTGAACCTGTGCCTCATGCATACTAGCTCTTTGTTAATTTTCACAGGATTCGGATGCAAGATAAGACAGTCCTGGGTGCTAGGTAGGGACTCGTGGAGCCAGTGCAGGTAGAGGTATCCTCCAGGAGGGTGGACAAGCTCACCGTGGAGGGTACCTGGAAGCCACCCACTCAACGTTGCACTGAAGCTGTCTCTGCCACAAGGGGGAGCTCTCAGATCTAAGGCACTAGGTTCTGGGTATCCCCTAGAGTTGTTTGGCCAATTTGATTCTCTCTCAGATGGAGACATGGAGGTCCCCAGTGGGAAGCTGTTCCCCAGCCCTTGCAGCAAGTTGTCCACAGAACCAGAACATGGTCCCTTTTTCCCTTTTCAGGTCCAAAGCTTTAGCTTTTCATAGCAAAAGCTTTGGGTGTTAGACAAGCAGACAGGCAGACAGGCAAGAGAGTACATTCCAGTAGAGGAAGGCAAACAATGAGCCAATCAAGAACCCAAGAAAATGGGGTTGTGGCTCATGGAGAAAAGTGAAGTCGGGGCTGAGAGAAGAAGGGAGGCAGAGAACAAGCTGCACAGCCATCTGAAAGGGTGCACATGCCAGGGCCCAGGGACAGGAGCTCACCCAGTGTGTTTGAGGTTAATGAGGGTCAGTAAGGGGCAGACTGGAAGTCTGCAAGGCCTACTGCCCTGAGTGCCTCATGCCTGCCTTCCCTGGTGCTCACAGCGCATCCAGGTCATGACTCAGCCCAGTGAAGACATCGTTCGCCCGGAGAACGGCCCAGAGCAGCCCCAGGCCAGTGGCTCAGCCAGCAAGGAGGCCTACATCTAGGGCTGGGCTCTCACGACCCGATGCTGTCACCCCTGCCTGGCTGAGCCCCAGTGACTGCCACTTGATGACTGGACACCTTCCATCTGAACCTACCTCAAGTGGCGCATCTCAACACCATCAGCTCACAGAGGGATGTGGGGGGACAGTTGGACCGGGTGGGCCCTGCCATGGACAGCAGCACCCAGTGGCTGCCAGAGCCTGGGGCCTGGTTACCTTTTTCATGGGGCCCCAAAGCACCACGTGGCCAGTTAGCATTCTTCATGGTCGCGGTAGCCCATTTTTAGCCTCCAGCGAGTGTGGCTGGGAAAGGCCACACACACTCCTGGCTTTTAGTCGTTTTCCTGACTGTTTTCTTACTGCCAGACCCTGACTGTTACGTGGGACTTCGCAGGATGCCGGTTCTGCCAGATGCAGCCTGGGACCCACAATATGGGCATTTTGTACAACGGGACCACAGGGGCTTCGCACTAAGGGGCAGGAGCCAGCAGAGCTCTGACTCCACAGTTGTGGGCTTCTCCTTCCCGAGGCAGCTGACAAAACACCCCCAGAGACCTCAGGCAGTGTCCCTTCCCCACATATCCTAGTGGATGGGCCTCTGGGCAGCTCCTCCACTGCCAGGTTCAGATTGGACCTGGCCCACCTGCCAGAAGGGCTCTGAGTACTGGAAAAGTGTTCCACGCACAGCTGGTTTCTCTTGGTCGCCACCAAGGGGGACATCCCCGGCAAGAACACTCCTTCACTGCCCACCTTTACAGAGCACAAAAGCCCCACAGAGGGAAGAAGGGGAAGGGACTGTCTTGGTCAAGGCAGACCCAGCTGTCCCTCAGGGTCCCTCTTATACTGTCACTCACACTGCCACCCCGTTTTCAGCTGCTGACTCCTTCCCCAGATTCCTCAGCAGGAAGCACCATGACCCACTAACTGAGGCACTCGTGTCCTCCCAGCCTTCATCCCATCCCACCTTGGGCTTCTGAAGCCAACCATGCTTCCTTGGGAAGTGGGAGGTGTCCCTTTCAGGAATTGGCTTTGTGGTATTTGTGGTGAAGCCAGGTTGTGGGGTCCTCAGAGCTCCTGTGAGGTGGTCTTTGCATCAGCCAAGAGAAAGGGTCCCCGTAGCAAAGCAGAAGTCTCACCCATAGCTCCTTAGCTTGTTAGCTCGCAAACCGTGTTTCCTGACTAATCCTTATTAACTATGGTAAGTACTGTGACTGTGGGTTTCTTAGTCTCTTCTCCTGCTCATCAGGAGTGACCAGCACACCAGTTCTTGCAATAAGATATTACCCTCAGAGCACCCAGCACATTATTGTAGAGAATTTTAAATGTCTGTATGCACATAGGTACACACACCATGCACATCTGTCCCCCTGCGTGGCCTGAAGGGTCTGCAGCTTTCCTGAGGCCATCTGTAAAATAGTCACATTCCAAGGCACCCCGGGCCATGTGGGAAAGCCACAATCCAGCTGCGTTCAGTTTTGAGGTTCTAGGGTTTAGGATGGAAGGACCCGCCACTGTGTCTTCTGTCCCACCCCACTGTCCAAGTATGTGTGCCCTTAGGGGACAGGTGGGGACTCCCTTCTCCTTGTCTTCAATGTGAAACTGAGACAGTCTTCCTATGATAAACACAATATATTTAATGTTTGTAAGCTCCTCTAACCGAGACGTTTGGCAAGAAATCCCCTGATTTCCACCCAAACTCACCTTATAGAGCACAATATTAAGTCTTGTACAGCTACTGTGAGATCCGTGAATATGTGTAACTTTTTTTTTTCTAGTATTTGCCCGGGATGGGGGGAGAGCTATTGTATTATCATATATGCTTTTTTTTTTTGCAATAAGGATTTATTCTCAGAACATCAAGTAAATTTATCTCTATATTAAAAAATATATGTAATATATACATATTCAAACTATATACAGAGCCTGTTTTAAAAAAATACAGTATTATTTAGTAAAATTATCTGTTCTATGGACCAAATGTAAAATATTTATAAATGAAGATGCATTTTAAATGTCTATGGTGTCATAACTAGAGCCCGGGCGTTATGTAAGTTTCTAAGAATTTAGAGGAAAATAATAAAGGTTCTATGATATGCAGTATCCGCCCTTCGGTTCTTATGAGTAGGAGCGCATTAGCCTCTTTTGTCATAGATGTCAACTATTTTCCCCAATAAAGAGGAACTTGCACGTAAAATCTAGCAAAGTAGAAGTGGTCTTCCCCAAAGTTATAGGATAAGTGCAGAGAAAATGACTCTCAGCTACATAAGAAGGTGCTTTGCCTGTGTAAAGGGTCTGCAAAGTAAAAGCCTAAAGCCAAAGGACAAAAGTTAAAGTGGCTTTCATAAATGACAATCACTCCTTTGCTTACTGACTCATTCCTCAACACTAATTTTTATTAAGAATTTTTCATTTAGGAAAATGTGGCTCCACAGAGAAGACGTAAGGACAGTTTGATGGATGGCCACACACACTGCATAGGGTCACTAGTTGTTGGCTCATCTTTTTCCTTCCATCCCTTCTGTTCCTGTCAAGGTCTTGTCTTGGAAGGGAAAACTGAAAATAGGACGGGATGAGGGATCCATCACAGGGACAAGACCACAGACGCTGTGTGACAGGTGGACAAGGGTCTGGAAGGGGTGGGGGGAATGAACAAGCCCCCACATTCCTTGCCCCTTTTGTACATGGCCATGGAGGTGCCCTGTGAGCCAGGACTCTGGAAGGCACATGCAAAGGAGCTGCCTGAGAGTCCCAGCTAGCACAAGGTGAGCACGTTATCCGCATGCTGAGCAATGGGGCCTCGGAGAGCCTGGGAGGTGACGCTCCATCAGAACCAAGAAGGAGCTGGAGCCCTAGTAACCAGGGAACCCACATATTCATCCCTGTGAGTGGACTATGGCTTGCATATGGAATAAGTGCATCCCCCAACGGGCAAAGACTGGAGGATCAGTCCATAGCATGGTGTTGTCAAGCTGCGGGCACCATGAGCCATCCAGCCATCACTGGAACCGACACCAAGCTTTCACACTTCTAGCCTCCAAAACTGGCGCTATGCAGAGCTCTTTTCCTCCTAAATTATGCAATCCAAGGTATCTTGAGACAGCCACGGAAAACACACTAGCACAGCACACCACAAGCTTGTGCCAACCAGTGATGTGTTGGTTAAAGATAAGGTGGCCAGGCAACCCCTGCTTTCCTTTTCATAATTAGCCAAAGGTAATGAGTGTTGGCAGAATGTGTGCATCTCAAGAAGCAAAATAAACTTAATTTTGGGCAGTTTTGCACTATTCTGGTAAAAATGAAATGTGTATGCTAGTACCAGTCTTGGAAAACATATGTACTGTGTAATTTCACATACGAGTTAAATGTGCATATAGTTGAGTTTGCACATTATAAAGAGGAACAAAAACCTTTATACTAATAATTTAAATTTTCTTTTATTTAGAACACAAATATCAAATAAATAAACGCCATGATAAGTTGAAAGACCACAGAAGGAAAGGGGGGCTTTCTATTTCACACTGTAGCTTCATTTTTCTCCTGCTTTTGGAACCAATAGGCTTGTACTGTCCTTTGCCCTGTCAAGCATTTGGGAAAGGGTTATAGTTTGGATAGTGAATATCTTTCCTCCAGAATCTGTTAATGTCTGATGTGTTCGGCCTTTAAAAGGTGGAGCCTAGTGGGAGGAAGTCAGGCTGCTAGGGGCGTGTCCTCAAAGGTATGCCCACAGCCCGCCCCTTCTGGTCTCTGCCTCTTCCAGCCAAGGTAAAGTACCAGTCTTTGTGCAGTGCTTCTGCTGCCTTTGCACGCTGCTCACCATGGGCCCCGAAACACAGAAGTAGAAGACCTGGCCTGAAGCTTCTGAGAGCGGAGGAAAAGAGGAAAGAGCTTGCCCTTCACCTTTACAGGTATTTTGTCCCACAGTGGGCATGGGAAGGGCAGGGCTGGGCACAGAAACTGGTGGGAGGAGGCAGGCAATGCCACTCAGCCAAGCTCCTCTCCTCTTGCTGCCTCCACTTTCGCATGTGAGCTGCAAGGTTATTGCCCCTGTTTTGCTAAGTCATTTTAAAATAACTTTCTGGTTTGGAGCCATACTCTTTTTAAGTAAGCAGAAGTCTTCCAGGAGCCAGGGCCTCCTTGTCATAACCACACAACGTTTATCAAACCCAGGGGACATCATCCAGCAGCCATGAGCTGTTTCTCTGGTTGTCCTGAGGATGTCCCTGAACACTGCTTCATTGTCATGTCCCTTGGTGGGTATTTCTGAGTTCCTGTCACCTGCCAAGCAGTGGTGAGCCTTCCTCTCCCAGACTCACAGGGGACTGATCTGGTGACTCCAGCCCCAGGACTCCACACTTGGCTCCCCGCTGAAGGAGAAACAGCAGCTTGTCCTTCAATCCCAGGACAATTCCATGAGGAATCCCAGGTACCTCATGCCATGCTGGCCCCAGAAACCTGGGCGCATTGTGCAGGCCCTGAAACTGGGTGTGGTGGCACATGCCTGTAATCCCAGCACTAGGGAAGCTGAAACAGGAGGATCACTACAAGTCCAAGTTGTGCAAGGAGACCCTGTATCAAATTTTTAAAAATATAAAAAACGTAAAGTGCTCAGGTAAAGGCCCTGGATTCAATCTCCAGTACTTCCAGTTAGTGAAAGAAAAGAGAGAACATCTGTTTTTCCCTCCAAACAGCAAAGTGTCAAATTAAAGAAGCCACCACCCATGGCTGAGAGCTCCAGTTCCCTCTACCATTTCCATGGCTAATATTCTCTAATATTCTAGCTAAATGTAAAGGGCAGTTCAGGCAGGAGGCTCACTCTCCAAACAGAAGCACAGGGACTTCCCTCAGCTCCTTCTTCCCCACACTTTCCACCAGCTTCCTCCCTCTCTGAGATACGTTAGAAACAGAGCAGAGGTCTCAGCACTGGGAAGAATCTTAAGACATCTTATTCTGTTCAAAGCTTAGGAAGGTGTCCTTCAAGGGCCACAGGCACTGGCTTCTGCTGCAGAGTTGGCCCAAAGGCAGCTATGGATCCGGGAAGCCTAGAGTGGTGTCCGAAGTTCCGCGTTTCTACTTTCTTTTTTTTCTTTTCTCTTTCTTTCTTTCTTTCTTTTTTCAGAAGTGGGGAAAATTTATTTATTTATTTATTTATTTTTATTTTTTGTGGAACCAGGGCTTGAACTCAGGCCCTTGCGCTTGTCAGGGAAGCGCTTATTCTACTGAGCCAT